CCTCGCTGCCGCCGCTCTCGGTTCGGCCCAGACCATCCCGAGGGGCCGGAATTCCGGTATCTCCATTCCCGGGGCCGGGGGGCACGGGGTCACCCTTCTGAGCAGGGATGTCACCGCCGCAGGGAGGCTCCTGGCGCATTCCATGGGTTGGTGCTGGGGGTCCGGCGGGTGGTCGGGGGGAGCTGCCCAGCACACCGGGGAGCAGCCGAACCTCCGGGGCATCCGGGCTCAGCCTGGCCTTGCTGAACTCAGACAACACCCTTGAAAAGGAAAAGTGACCGGTTTGAAGGTGGCTCAGTGACCAAAACCTAGAAAACATCCTCATTACTGCAAATTGTAACCATGGAGGAGGGTTTGGTGACATGCTGGCCTCTGTGGGCCCCAGTGATGCCAACAGGAAAATGTGGGATTTGTGCCCCATAGAAGAAAAATGTGGGATTTACGCCCCACAACAGGAAAATGTGGGATTTGAGACCCACAGCAGGACAATGTGGGATTTATGCCCCACAGAAGAAAAATGTGGGATTTGAGACCCACAGCACAAAAATGTGGGATTTGTGCCCTGCAACAGGATAATGTGGGATTTGTGCCCCATAACAGGCAAATGTGGGATTTGCACCCTACAGAGCAGCACGGAACAGGACCCTGTCTGTGATGGGAGCATTTCCAATTACACCCATTAATGGGGTTTAATAGGGTGGATGGAGGGTGTGCCGGGTGCTCCCCACAGCCCCAGCCCCGTGTACAGCCCCTGGACACCAATCCAGCCTCRGACCATGTGCCAAGTTCCAACTGTTCCCATTAATGAGCAATTAACGGTGGAACCTGGCCAGAGAATCCGCTGTTCCCGTGGCCCCACTTTGCTGCCAGCCCCAGAATTAAATCAGCCTGAGACTGAAACTCAGAGGAGCGTCTCCATCACGAGTTTAACCCAATCAAGGCAGGTTCCTCCAGGATCACTGAAGATRTAAAATCCTGGAAGTGGGGAATGATGCTGTCTCTGCAGCTCTGACTCTTCCTGGAGACTGGGAAGAGGCATCGCCCCAAGGCTCAGCTCCCTCCCAGTCATACTTGCAAGGTGCCAGGCACAACATTTACAGATTACTCAGCGCTTAYATAACCCTGGAAATCTTTGTGCTGGATGCTTGGCAGGAATAAATCACAAGAATGACAAACCAACAACCTCCCTCTCAGGATGATCTGCCGAAGCTGCAAATTACAACCCTTCCCTGTGACCAAACTCATTCCTTTCCCCCTGTGGAAAGCCCTGGAGCGCCCCTCAGAAAGATGTGACATTCCTGAAAGCAGGGAGTGGCATTTTTTTGACGTTTCTGCCCTGATAAAGAGGACACACAAACACTTCAGTGGCCATGAGCTCATTTGCAGTGGCAGCAGGGCCTTGACAAGCTGTGAAAAGAACAAAAGCTCCTTCCAGGAGGAAAAAAGAGAAGGGAAGGGAAGGGAAGGGAAGGGAAGGGAAGGGAAGGGAAGGGAA